CATTCCGGACAGATAGCTATCCCCATTGTATATCTAAAGAGAGGGTACTTTGAAGTGGCCCTCATACAAACAAAGAGATTTAAATGACCTGGTTTAGATAGTTACTGTATGTCGGCCCCATAAAGTCTGAGATAAGGTAGTTAATTTAGTGGTTGTCCCTTCTCCCATAATAGAGCATTCCTTGTGGCACACACATGTTTAGCACATCAAACATTCCTCCAATACAAAGCTATCTAGTAGATTAATTACTAAAACTTGATCCCTTATTCCCATGTCTATGTACAGTACACCTATATCAAACCAAGCTCTGATATTTCTAACTTTGTAACTTGGTTAATGTATAGTTAGAAAAATATTTATTTACAGTGGCTGATGAAGATTATACATAAACCCCTCATAAGTCTACAATTCCCCCCCCTTCCCCACCTGTTGCCCCAATTCTGCTATTCCTTCGGTCTTTTCTAAAGTGCTGACTCCCCACCACCAACAAAGAGTACAACCAAACTAAAGGGGAACCTGTTTGCTATATCATTGCTGTTGTTTCTCTTTTGCTACCAGGGTAATGCATAAACTGTACATCTGCAAAAAAATATTCCCCAACCAACCAGGTGTGTTAGATTGTGTGGTACTTTTTGCAGTCAAGGGCAAGGGAACAGGGGACCCAATTAATCCAACTTCTCCTGCGAGGGTAAGCACTACATACATATTAATCTTTGATGAGGTTCAGTATGGATGTTAAAGGGTACCCCATTAAAAATGGCATGCACCCCCAATTCCATTCAGGCTCAGAAAAAAGTGTGGGGCCTCCAAAAAATTCATACCAGACTCTTATCCAAGCACGCAGCCTGGCAGTAAAGGTAGGGGAAAGAGGGTTCACCCCTTGCTAAACCATACCAGGCTTCATGCCCTCAACATGTGAGGGGGGCTTGCCAGGGGGTATCTTATCCCATATTGATAAAGACAAGAGCACCTTCCCCACAACCATAGCCCGGAGGTTATAGAGGTCTGCAGAAGGGGGAAGGGGACTTATCAGAGTATAAAACCCCCCATTAACAGTACGTAGGCCCCAAGTTACCCCTCCAACATGTGAAAGAGTAATGGGTTCATACTACTATTTCATCATACATAAAAGTTAACAGCAAATAGTTTATCAAAAAGTCCCATAATGTACATCCATCATCAATCAAGTCATCCAGCATTACAGATCCAAGTCAATCATGATGGCCCCCAAAAGTAAAAAAAACCCACCTACCAAGGGACACATCCCATTCCATCACTAGATTTGAGACATGTAGCCAGAACCCCATCCTAAAAGTAAACAAAGCAGCGGGGTCTCCCAGATGATATAATTCACCAAATACAACTATTACTATATTTAGTCAATTGTATTGCCCAAATATGGTCATATGGCTACATTTAGTCAGTGATGTCACACTCTCACCGTCCCTGATTTGGTCCATGATATGCAGCTCTCACCAAACAGGCTAAAATTTGTGTTTGGACTTAACCTTGAGTTCACCTCCATTAGCCTTTTGGGAAGCACTGAAGGGGGTGTAGGGCTGCAAGCTGAATAAAGTTGTTTGCTGGTTTTCGATCGGGCAAAAGCTTTTGGTAGGATTGTATGACCTATGTGGGGAAAAATTCATGCTTGTGAATGTTTGTATTCGGCAGCCTTTAAAGGTAGCTTGGATGTGTGCCAGAGGTGTCCATTAAGCCTTCAGTTATACATGCTTACAAATGAACCCCTTTGTCAGAAGTTTGGAAAGCAGACCATTGTGTTGGGTACCTTTGAGCATCATTGGAGATATTTTTTAAGGTCTCATACACACTGGCAGTATGAATCCAAACCCTATGCGATGGCCGTGTCTACCTGCACAAGAATGAACAGATGTTTTTTCCATGCAGCTGGTGTGTCCCAATTGAAATCAATAGGACTGCTTGCATGGGGGTTCACCTGTGCATCCTTGTGTGTGTAAATAAGGCCCTCACATGGAGTAAGGATTCATACACTCCTTGTGAATGAGGCCTAAGTGGTTTGGTCTATGCTGACAATGTTTCCATTGTTGTCTCTGAAGACTGAAGAGGTACAGGAGGTGGTCTTGGCAACAAATGGGAGTGGAAGCCAAAGGGTTTGAACAACTAGTAGAATATGGTTTACAGTACTTGCCCAATCAGAACGATGGTCTAAGGGTGGTCAACCCAAATATATATTTCTCTGTGATGTTCATACAATGATCTTGGTTATAAGCTAGCCTGCCAGGGTGGATAGGTGTTTTCTGCACTTAGTTTAAACCTTTTCTGCACAGCTAGGAAAGTGATGGTCCAGTATTAGGTCTGTGGGTCAAGCATGTTAAGCACCCAGCTTTTGTTGACCCAGGCTTGAAAATGTTTCAGTAGTTGTAAGTGATAGTAGAGGATATCAAGTCCTATTCCGGGAAATGTTTTTAGTGAATCACTGGCCTTGAACAATTCCCCAGGCTCTGTTATTATGAAGGAAACCAGTTTGGGAAAGTACAAAAGATCTTGTGGGCATTTAGGATTTGGGGCTTGCTAAACACTCACGGTTCTATATTAGAGGACACATAAGGAACATTTTTGAATGACTGTGGTTGCGCAAGAGGGAAGTAAAATCTATGGATTACTTTTTGCCCTGGTTTCCTTTCAGTGAAGAGTTTCATAGGAGATGGGTGGGGAAGGGGAGGGGGATTATGGGTATCCCCGCTATTTTTGCATATGCTAAGTGAGAATATGGGTTTTTCAGACTTGCTGGGATTTTGGTGCTGTATTTTTAGTCAATATATTGAGCTATTATTACAGTGGGATGCCTGAATGAAAGTGTTGAGGAATATCAGGCCTTCTTGGTGACCACTTTTAGATTGCTGGGTATCTTTGATATCTTTATTAAGCATCCATTAGTGAATGCTTCTTAGCCTAAATAATGTAAATAGGTAGTAAGGTGTTTCTCTTTGGTGAAGGATAGTGTTGGGCATGATGTTCGAGTCGAACATAACTTTGACTCAAACATTTGACGTTCGTGTGTTAAGCAGGCCACGCCTCCCAATGCACTGTGCCCTGCCAGTACATTGTGATTGGCCAAAGCAGTGCACCTGACCACAGGTCAGGTGCTTTGCTTTTGCCAATCGCAGCACATGATGATGTAATAAGGAAGCTTCATCACAGTATTAAAGAACTGTCATCCTGGCGCAGCTGTCAGATGGCGGGAATCAGTGTTGTGAGTGGAGCAATTTTTTTTCCCTTGGCGTTGGTAGTGGGCATCGTGATTGCTGCTCGATCTACTGTGGGGGGGACATTTTTTTTTTTTTTTTGTTTTTATTAAAGGACTTGTCAAAGTCTACTGTCACGTTTTACACTACACTGTTTTTTTTGTGAATGAGTAGCGGTACCAGGTAACCCATACTCATTCACATGGGGGGGTGGGATTTGGGGCCCCCTTGTTAAAGGGGGATTCCAGATTCCAATAAGTCCCCTGCCTGTAGACCCCCACAACCACTGGCCACAGTTGTGGGTAAGAGGCCCTTGTCCCCATTAACATGGGGACATGGTGCTCTGGGGAGGAGCCCCACTACCTCACAGCACCCCCCCATGTGGCCTGGTATGGTTCAGGAGAGGGGGGCACTAGCTCATACCCCCCTTACCTCACCTGCCGGTCTGCATAAGGGTCTGGTATGGATTTGGGGGGGGGACCACTGCATCATATTTTTTTAAATTTTGGCATGGGGGTTCCCTCAAAATCCATAACAGACTCGAAAGGCTTGATATGAATGGGGGGGGGGCCCATGTGTTTTTTTTTTTTTATTTTTTAATTGCTGAACAATGCCAGCAATTATTTTTGCATTCAGCTGTCAGTGGGAAACCCTGCTGAGAGCTGAAACATGTAAGAATGTTTTCACTACTAAAATCCCGCATGACTAATATAACTCATGTGATATTTTAGAAGTTGTGCATTATCTTACCACATACTCAGATGCAGTAAGATACCACTTAGTGAATTGCCCCCTCTGTTCGAAGTTAATGGTCGAACTTTTGTTAGGTTCCAATGTTCGACTGAGAACCGAGCAAGGGGGTGTTCGGCCCATCATTAGTGAAGGCAGCATTCTTCATTTTGAACAAATAAAGTGTTACATTAAGTCTTAGCAAATACTGATCTTGGTCATAAAATGTATTATTTTCATGTAGCAAAGTTATTATGCATGCAAATAGCAATGTTAATATTTATTATTTATTTATTTACAGTGTTTATTTTTGAGATAAGCAGAACAAGTCTTCTATCTGTTCCCTACTGTTCTACAAAAGGAATACAAAGACAGAGGAAGAGAATGAATAAAATGTTTGGGGTGCTGGAGGGAAGAAGAAAAAGGAAGGTACAGTATATGTTGACCTTGTATGTGGATGTGGTGAGTACATTAAAGACTACCGTATTTTTCGCTCCATAAGACGCACTTTTTTCCCCCAAAAAAAGGGGGGAAAATGTCAGTGGGTCTTTTGGAGCGAATATGGAGCGGCCGATCCGGTATTTCCACTGCCGCCGTGTCAGAATACCGGGCCGGCCGCTCAGCTCTACAGCAGGACCTTAGAGATGACTGCTGACCTTTGGGGAGGGAGGGGGAGCGGGTATCTGAATTTGACAGATACCCGCTCCCACTTCCGTGGAGTTGTTCTTTCATCTTACCCGTTCCTCTATCTAGCGGCGCGGTCTTCCCGGCTTCTGTAGTGTGGGCATGACAGCCGGGTGTCAAGTGCGCATGCGCAAGAAGCGGTGCTTTTTGTGAATGGTAAGGCGGCACCTGGGACACATGACAGATCCCAGAAGCCGCCGGACCAATCACAAAGCGCAAGTGCTTCTCGCTCATGCACACTGGGCACCCGGCTGTCATGCCGAGCGCCATTACAGAAGCCGGGAAGACAACGCGCGGCTGGATAGAGGAACAGGTAAGATGAAAGAACAACTCCGCGGAAGTGGGAGCGGGTATCTGTCAAATTCAGGTACCCGCTCCCCCCCTCCCCAAAGGTCAGCAGTCATCCCCTGTACTATCCAAAGTCTCTGGTCATCCCTGTACTGTCCGCAGTCTCTGGTCATCCCTGTGCTGTCCGCACTCTCTGGTCATCCCTGTGCTGTCCGCAGTCTCTGGTCATCCCTGTACTGTGTCCGCAGTCTCTGGTCATCCCTGTACTGTGTCCGCAGTCTCTGGTCATCCCTGTACTGTGTCCGCAGTCTCTGGTCATCCCTGTACTGTGTCCGCAGTCTCTGGTCATCCATGTACTGTGTCCGCAGTCTCTGGTCATCCATGTACTGTGTCCGCAGTCTCTGGTCATCCCTGTACTGTGTCCGCAGTGTCTGGTCATCCCTGTACTGTGTCCGAAGTCTCTGGTCATCTCCTGTACTGTGTCCGCAGTCTCTGGTCATCTCCTGTACTGTGTCCGCAGTCTCTGGTCATCTCCTGTACTGTGTCCGCAGTCTCTGGTCATCTCCTGTACTGTGTCCGCAGTCTCTGGTCATCTCCTGTACTGTGTCCGCAGTCTCTGCTCATCTCCTGTACTGTGTCCGCAGTCTCTGGTCATCTCCTGTACTGTGTCCGCAGTCTCTGGTCATCTCCTGTACTGTGTCCGCAGTCTCTGGTCATCTCCTGTACTGTGTCCGCAGTCTCTGGTCATCTCCTGTACTGTGTCCGCAGTCTCTGGTCATCTCATGTACTGTGTCCGCAGTCTCTGGTCATCTCCTGTACTGTGTCCGCAGTCTCTGGTCATCTCCTGTACTGTGTCCGCAGTCTCTGGTCATCTCCTGTACTATGTCCGCAGTCTCTGGTCATCTGTACTATGTCCGCAGTCTCTGGTCATCTCATGTACTGTGTCCGCAGTCTCTGGTCATCTCCTGTACTATGTCTGCAGTCCATTAGTTCAGAATATTTTTTTTCTTATTTTTCTCCTCTAAAACCTAATCTTATGGTCAGGTGCGTCTTATGGAGCGAAAAATACGGTATATTGTGTTGTGTGACACAGAAGAATCTTGGTTCTTAACCTTGAGCAATTTTTTGTGTATGGAGTCCTTCAAACTGCAGTGCATATGAAAGAAACTTTACATAAGTTACATGTCTTTAAAGGGAGAGATCATTATTGGGTGATTACTCTCTTGGACCAATGCTATAACTCCAAAAAGGCAGAGATTTCTGCCATTCCAGATGGAGCCTTTGAGAATGTCCTTTAAAAGTAACTAGCAACTTCATCGCTGTACCTCATGGCCTGACAAGCAATAACAGCAGCAATGGCTGCTTGTTAGGAGCTTGAGTCAATATTCTAAGATGCCTGCCCCTCTCCCTGCACATCTTTCTCCCAGTATATATATAGACAGTAGTGAGCACTCTCCTGTGTAGCAGCTAGTACACTCAGGCAACCAAAAGAAACCTCAGAAATACAATGAGAAATAAAAAGTGCAGCGCTTAAAATAAAACTAGGGTAGTGGAATCAGTCTAAAAACATATGAATAATCCAGAAATCCACCAATATAGAAAATAGCTGTTGAAAATGGTAGGATTATGCGCTTACCAGATGCGCATCGAATATGCGCATGTAAAAAATTCCTCCTTAGGGACTAATGGTAATAATGGTAATCTGTAGAACATCCGTCAAGGAATGGGCAGCTCTGCGGTCGGTGGAAGATGTCTGGCTCCAGAGGTCTCCTTTAGGGTCAGCCACCTGTTTACAGGGATTCCCTTCCTCTAGATACTCGTTCAGACTGGTACTCCTCACAGGCTACGCAGGCTTAAAGGCTCCATAAAGAAGCCATAAACATTGTGCCCATAGTGTAGTAGTTTTTAAATGCACTTAATTTTATTCAAAAACGATATTCAGTTATAAAGGATGACAGGTGCACTGACCATTCCAAAGATAGCTGCCGGACCAGCTCGTGGCTCCGGCGGCTTGATGTCACAGCTAGTTGATCTCCTGAGGCCTTTCGTGCAACCACACGTCTTCAGAGGAAAATCAACTGAATCATCTTCCACCGACCGCAGAGCTGCCCATTCCTAGACAGATGTTCTACAGATTACCATCACACATCATTACCATTAGTCCCTGAGGAGGAATTTTTTAAATGCGCATATTCGATGCGCATCTGGTAAGCGCATAATCCTACCATTTTCGACAGGTAATTCCTACATTGGTGGATTTCTGGATTATTCATATGTTTTTAGACTGATTCCACTACCCTAGTTTTATTTTAAGCGCTGCACTTTTTATTTCTCATCTTTCTCCCAGCAACTGCCACTTGGCCATTCTCTCTTCCCCAGCATAAAAGTCAGATGCTGGACAACAGAATCTGCACTGCTGGCAACTCCTCCTCCACTCTCATTGGTCGGCGGAAGCACTATTACTAGTCCATCTTCCTGGACTCCTCTGTTCCCACTGGCTGGTGGCACTGTAGCACATTATGTTTCACAATTACAAGCCCAGGGTTCTGGCTGTGTGATAATATTTAACTACTAGCATCTGTACCAAGTGCCTTGTTCTGGACTGCTTAATATTTCTGACCCATGTCCTGATAGAAATCCAGATTGTCATCGGCACTGACCCTTGTCTGGATAATGGATAATGCTACTGATTGTTGCCTTCCCTGATCCTTGCCTGGATAACAGATAATGCTACTAATTGCTGACTGCCCTATCCTTTCCCTAGATAATGGATAACCCAACTGATTGCCTCCTGCGCTGACCCTTGCCTGGCTATTGGTTTGCCCTACTACCTGCTCTCAGTTCAGACCACTGCTAGCTCAGCATCAAGCCAGCCGTCAGCCTGGTCACTCCTACACACAGCACCACCTTGAATCTATCTGACATGGTACAGTATGTGCTATGGGGGTAACCTGGTTCTGTGAAGCTGATCCACCAGGTCCATGCAATTTTAGTTAATACTGCTCAATTGCACCCAACCCCTGCCCCTGCTATCTCTGTAGCTCCTGAAACTGAGCCTACCATTCTTTTACCAGACAGTTTTCGTGGTAACCACTGGAATTTTAGAGTCATTACATCAATACTTCAAGAGGATCCATTGCCCTGGGTTTTCAGTTTACCATCCTCTGACCCTTCACTGACATCCATGGTTCTTCAATGCTTTAAGTTCTCCTCCATGATGATATAACTGTTATAACTCTGCGCCAAAGGTGTAACAAAGTAATTATCCATCTGCAGTCACTATGTTCTCTGTGCAGCTTCTTTGCAGAGTGTGTAAAACTATGTTTGAAAAGAAAAGAAAAAAGTTATAAAACAATCCTCTTTGTTCAAAATGTAATATCAAAACACCCAGTGACCTTCACATCCTCATTATCCGGCCTACTGTCTGATCCTGGACCATGGTTATGTACCAACAACTTGAGTATCAGTTGGGCTAATCAGAAGATTGTGGTTTGGAACAACTCTTTTACCAACCACTATCTACGCCAACAAGTTGTCCTATACTTCCTTGCAGCCAAATTTCTCCCCAGCTGCTATCAAGAAAACTCAGATGTCTTTTGTGCCAGATCTTCTGCTGTGTTACCCACTCATTGGCTCTATGACTGCCCAATAGACAAACTTCCTGCTACCTTATTGGGCCAAGGCTTGTGTTTGCCCCCTTACTGAACCTCAAAACCATAAAGGGTCAAACTGAAGAAAACCAGCAAAATGGTTAATTCACCCCTCTTCCTCTCTGTCAGGGATCCCGGCTGCTCAGCAGTGCGCGCATGCGCAGATCGCCGATTCGTCCAAGCCGGCGAGCACGGAGTCCTCGGCGATCGCGGCGGCGGCAGCGCATGCGCACTAGCAATCGCGGCCGCACCAATGAGAGCACAGGGCGCCCTATTTAAACCTGCCCTGTGCATCTCCAAATTGCCGCAAGGTCTCGTTCCTGTTCCTCTGTTCCTGTTAGTACATTTCTTTGTTGCCAAACTCTGCCTGTTCTGATTTATGCTGACCCTCTCCTGCTCTGACCCCGGCTCGTCCCTGACCATTCCTCTAGCTGTAGTTACTGTTATTTTGGACCCTCTGTTACTGAACCTGGCGTGTGACCTGACTACTCTTTGCCTGCTGCTTGGTACCGCACCTGTCCCCACTGTTACCAACCCGGCTAGTCTGACCTCGCTCACTCCTAGCAGTCATCCATAAATCCCGCTCGGATCGGGACCTGTCAGCCCTTTCACAGCAGGCTCATCCCGGGCACATACCCTCAGCGGGACCCCTCTACCACCGCCGGGGGTGCCCAGGGGCGCGACCTGGTTCCAGTCTTGCACCAAGTCCATCCCCACCATCAGGGGCTCTGGTGAAAAGGCAGACTGGGACTTAGACTCCGCGTCCTGGGAAATCCCGTGCTGTGGACCACCAGAGATCCCGTTGGGCGGAGCCTGACAGTACCTTGCAGCCATGACTGAGCCTGGAAGAGGAACTTCCCCTCTGGATGACATCTGTCAACAGCTGGAGACCCTTACACAAGGAGTTAGGGTCCTACAGGAGGGTTATACGGAGTTGGATGGTCGCATGCAGACCTTAGCTACACCTACCAGGGGGTCTGGGGACCCACTAGGGAGACACCGGGGTTGATTCCCGTTCCAGAACCCCGTGTCCCCACACCAGAATGTTTTTTTGGAGACCGAAGTAGATTCAGGGCCTTTCGTAGTTCCTGTCAGCTATACTTTAAACCTCCAGCCTCGGACCTTTTTCTCAGAATCGGTGAGGGTAGGGTTCATCATTTCCCTACTACAGGGTGAACCCCAAGACTTTGCCCACCGGCTCTTAGAGAATCGAGACCCACTGTTGAGGTCGGTGACAGTATTTTTTGAGGCTATGGCACTCTTGTATGATGACCCTCTGCGCACAGCAATGGCCGAGAGAGCCCTATATACACTGAGGCAGGGTCACCGGACAGTGGAGGACTATGCCGCTGAATTCAGGTGTTGGCGTAGTGACAGCCAATGGAACAAGGCGGCCCTGCACCACCAGTTCCGCATAGGGTTAGCTGAGTCACTGAAGGACGAATTGGCCCGAATAGACATACCTAGTACTTTGGAGGCCTTAATAGCTTTGACTATTCAAATTGACCGCCGGTTGCGGGAGCGCAGGCAGGAAAGGTCCAACCAAGGACAGGGACCAACTGGAACACCCCCTCATGCTTTAACCCAGTCGCAGCACGCAAGCCAGAATCAGAATGCTATGGATACACCCAAGTCCGGGCCATCGGGAAGGATACGGCCGACACTTACACCTGAGGAACGCCAGAGGCATCTGGCCAACCATTTCTGCTCTCTACTGTGGGGGAGCAGGCCATGTGGTACGTACCTGTCGAGCCAAGAGGGGTAAGTGTTCCGCTGTTTTCTCTAAGGTCACTTCTAACAGTATGGGCAACACTAGTTATCTAGC